TGATTTCACAATTCTTGACAAAAATAGTCCTTTGTTGTTGGCATCTGTCTATCTCGGAATACAATGGAAAAAGGTGTAAACTCAAACTGTTGAGAGATTTACAACACCTGCTGTGGCTGTTGAGAATGATATGGGAGAGACATATTTTACTGCAGCTGGGGCAGATGAAGGCATCTGATTGTACTGCTACAGGCACACCATGGTATGTCTTCCCTCTGCACTCCTCCCTGCAGTCATTCCTCCTTTGGTCACTACTGTGGTATACAACCTGACTGTTCGCCTCCAGGCACTGTGGTCTTCTGCAAGGGATTCCCACACAGTGGGATTAATGTTGCCAGCCTTCATATCAAGTTTGCAGACCTCTTTGTAATGCAGAGAAGGTACTCATGAGAGAGGAATTAATACTGGCTTTCAGCATTTCTGTCCTGGGGCTTTACCACATGCCTGAGAGTTGATGGTGTTCTTCAGTTCATCCAGGGAGGGAGGGAAATCCAGCTCTTCCAGGAAAGGCAGAGTCTGGATGCTATCAATTGCTTTGTTGGAAACCATGTTTTCCTGGGAGTACAGTTCTTGATAGTGCTCTGCCCATCACTTCATCTCCCAACAAGGTTTTCAGCAGTGCAGTTTTCCTGCCTGTTGGTCCAAAGGCTGTCTTCATGCCTTCAAAATTACATCTTGTGATGCTTGCCACACTAAGAAAGGCAAGAATTGCTAAATAATGTGCCAATATAAAAACACTACTAGAGGTAATTTTCTGGAAACAGAGTAAAATATTCCCCAAGGATCTCAGTAGCTTGTAAATGATTATAAACTGACCACTGTACACAGAGGAGAAACCTGAAAAGTGCTAATATTCAATCTGACTTTGGAAGAGTACACAAGAAAAGCCTTGCTGGATTATATCAGAGGCCTTTCTAGTCCAGCGCTGCTTCCCACAATTATCAACCAAATGCCTATGGAAAGTCCACAAGCTGGATGTTGAGGGCAGCAGCCCTCTATTGCAATTGTTCAACAGCAACTGGTATACTGGAGGCAGTATACAGACATAACTAGTAGCCACTGAAAGGCTTAACCTCACTAGAATTTGGCCAGTCCCATTTTAAGTCCTTCTTAAATTGAAGTTGATGCTAGTGTTTCCAGTCAATTTTAACCACAGAGATTTCAGTGCACAGGCATACCAATTCTTGAAAGTACCACTGGCAGTGTCAGAAACTCATATATATAAATGGCTCCTTAAACCAGGGTTAAAGTTGCCAAAAAGGAATGCCTAGTTGCCATTTTTGGAGCAGACAGCTCAAAAGTCATATTTTGCAATACGACTTTTTGGTTCCTAAAGCTCATTCTGATTGTGAAGATAAAACAGGCTTCCTCAACCCCAGCCCTCCAGATGTTTTGAGACTACAATTCCCATCATCCCTGACCATTGCTCCTGCTAGCTAGGGATCATGGGAGTTGTAGGCCAAAAACATCTGGAGGGCAGAGGTTGAGGAAATCTGAGATAGACTATAACTGACAGAATTCTACAGGACGTTTTCCTAGTGTATGAAAGCAGTCCAGATCAGAGGATCCCCCAGGCATGCACCTCCAGATGGTAGAGACGTCAGGCGCCATCCTAGCATCTTCACTTGGTTGCAAGTGGTCGATTTGGTTGCAAGTGGTCGATAGCAGGTGGAAAATGCGTCTGGCACCTGGTGAGTTTCGAATGCTGGTGCCAAGTTATTGCTACAGGGTTTCTAAAGCTAGCTTCAATTTGAAATCTAAAGTACCTGCATAAACTGAAAAAGTAAGTCAGCTTCTTTTAATAACTGGAGACCAGTCCACACCAGATTAAAAATAAATAAATAGCAACCATCTTTAACTGGAAATAAATAACTGTTGATAGCTTCCATATCCATAAACTATATTTCTGGTTATTTATTCATTGTTATAACAGATGGGAAACTTGTGATATGAAGTATCATATGTTGTCAGATCCCCCAATTCTCATCACTCCAGCCAGCATGACCAAAGGTCAGGGATGATGGGGGATGTGGTCCAGTAACACCTGAATAGCCACAGGTTTCACAGCCATGTATTAGGTCATGAACAAATCAAGCCCCATATGGCAGCTTACTAATAACTGATATATTTAAAAAATTCATCCATCTGAGCGCTCTGAAGCAATTATTGTCCAACAGGTATTGTTGGACTACAGATCTCATTGTCTCCAATTACTGACACACTGACTAGGGCTGATGGGAGTCAGGAATCTAACAATATCTAAAGAGCTACAAGTTGCCCATCCCTGTTGTAGATAAACATGCTGGGTGAGGGTATCTTAAATAGCCATAATTTTGAAACAAGAATCTACAAGCAAGTATAGTCACATGGATTTTGCATTTTGTCAATATATCCTCCCAGAGTTATTCAGGAAATTAAAACAGGATGGCCTGCATTCAAATAGAGGATTTGGAATTATTTTTGTCAGTCACATTTTTATTTTTTATATATAGTCACTAGCCAATATACGGTAAATCACAAAAAAGAAATCCAAGAGTAAGTTAAACATATAAATTTCCAGATTTGCCAACTATCAAAATTGTAAGCTCTCCAATTCTTACACGGCCTATCAATATCCGGAACCTTTTCAACTTGGATCCCAGGCCCACCTATAGGCAAAGGGCTACTTACAACAGTAGCTAACAACTCCACAAATGCTAAAAGGCGATGTCTTAAATGCTCTGGAAATCCTGGCTTTACATTAGCAGCAACTAGGCCCAAGCAATGTTCAATTTTAAAATGGTGCTGTGATCCATGATAATAACCATATATGCCTGGTATGTGACTGCCTGAAGCAATTATCACTGATTAAATTCAGTCTCAGTGAGACCTTGTATTACTTTTACCACCAACAAGGAGTTCCAACTATTATTGCCAGTAGGTTGGTTTTATTTAAATCACAGACTTACCATTCTGAAACCAACTTTCCTCCCCCTTCCATCTGCACACATGAAAAAGCAGAATAGAAAACTGACTTCTTCAAAAATAAACGTTTGTGCTAGCTGAGCAAGGAAGCTTCAAGGCCAAACGGATTCAGCAAAGTATAAACATAATTTCATCACATGTACATACTGAAGTTGAACAAAATTTTCAAAATGCTGAGAGAAAAACTTTCACATAATATGGCACTAAACTTGAACATTCTAACCTTCTTACATATAAACGGATGTTGTCAAATCACATCTCTCATCAAGCCTGCAATTGCTGTCTTTGAAAAGTCATCCACGTATCACAAAAACGAATTCCAAATTTTTACTATGACTTTGCATTTGAAAATATCTTAAGATATGCCTATCAACACTCCTGGAGTCACAAAACTAAAGTATGGCACAGGTATGTTGCACAAGGTCATAAAGAAATAAAATGGCAGGCTAAATACTTCTCAGAAATTCCTGACACCACTAACCAGTAAAAAGGCCCTACTGAGAAAATATATAAATTTTAGAACAAAGGAACTGCCTATATTCTGATATATTTGTAAAGCTTATACAAGACTTTAAATTTCTTTATTCCACAGATGAAGACTAGGATCCATGTTGATAAGTATATGAATTCAAGTACAAAATGCAAATGTAGTGTAATTACGAGTTTCAAAACTTTATTACAAGGGAGTCCCCCTCACCTTATGTTTTCCAAAATTGCCATTGGTATTGCATGGAATGTCAACTAGCAACAAACTTTAAATTCCCATCACATTTACATGAGTTATACTTGCCACAACACCCACCCAAAACACAGACATAGTGAATAGTTTTGCTGTAATTAGCATACATTTATGATTAAGTATAAATAAAACTTTCACAGTGCGCAGATAAAACTGTAATTCACAATGCTGGCTCCTATCAGTGCTCCTGTAGAGGAACAGAGGCCTCACGCCATAAAAAGGTCTAGGATTTTCAAGCATCCAAGGCTTGGCTTAGGGAGAAAGACTGACAGCAACAGCTGAGAGTATCCTGTATTGATCCTGTAACATCCTGGCATACCAGGGAGGGTGGCAGTGAAGAAAGCTTTCTGGTGACATAAATAAACTCAAGAGTCTGTAAAAGTATTATGGTTGTCGTGCATTCCTAACTTTATGAAGGAGTAGCATATTTAAAACAAAATAACCTGCATTTTGGGTGAAGAATCCCACACCTTTCAACCTACCTCTAGCCCTAGCTTGCACAAATGTTCTCTAAAACCCAAACCACAGAGGTGGGTCTACTTATCACCAGAGGTGTGACTCCATGCTGCCTGACCTGAATCTAATATTAGTAAAGGGATATAAAATGTATTTTGACTCACAGCAGAGGGCACCCCCACCCCCCTCACAAGTGACTCATAACACCCCCACCCCACCCGTGTCCTACTTGGGGCACTGAACACAATGAACACACCACAGTAAAATAAAATTCAGAAGCTCCCTTTCCCACCCCCCACTTTTATCAAGGTAACAAGGCCAAAAAAAAAGCCTTCCAACACAAAACCCTCCAAAAGAGGTTTCTCAAGGTGCTTCACAAAGTCAGCCCTGGCCTGCCCTGTCCCGGGAAACGAAGGGAAGCCCCTTCTCACGTTACACCGTTTTCCAGGAGCGTCCAAAGCGAAAAAGCGTTACCTCAACACTGCGGGGACACGTAACGCACCCAGAACTTGGGCTCTCCCCACGACCTCTCCCCTCACCCGTGTCCCACCCACCCAAAAGCCCCTCCCAAAAGCCACACACCACCCCGCCCCGCACCCCTCGCCTCACACACCTTTTATCCTCCCCACCCGCCCACCCACCCAAAAAGAAACCGCTCAACCTTCCACTGTCTGCCCGCTCCGGCCTGGGCCAAAGGCTCCCCCGCTCCGAGGGTGGCTGCCGAGGGCCGCCCTTCCGCCCCCCCCCTCCGGCCCCAACCCCGCAGTAACGGGCCGTACCCCGTACCCCCCGCCGAGGCCGCTCCTCCCCGGGCTCCCGGCGGCGAGAGGGCGAGGCGTACCTTGTAGAAGGCCCCGTTGGAGCCGCGCACTTCCACCGTCAGCTCCTCCATGTTGGGGCCGCAAAGGACGCCGGGACGGGCTTCTAGAAACTATCTCCACCTGAGGGGGGAGAGAGCGAGAGACTGGAGGGAGGGGAAAGAGGGAGGGACGGGGCGCCCTCGGGGCTTTCCCCCCTTCCTCACACCCGACGCAGGCCCAGGGCCGAGGGAGGAGCGGAGCAGGCGGGAGGGGAGGGCAAGGGGCGGGCGGCGCCGCCCTCGAGTCTCAGCCGCCGCCGCCGGCGACTCACGGAGGCGGAGGGATCTCCGCTCCCTAAGGCCTCCCCGCCCCCACCTCCGCCGCCGCCTCGCGCGCGCCTCAAGGGCGGGCGGCGCCTCCTCAGGCCGCGAAACGGGAGAAACAAGATGGGGGACGAGGGCTCGTTTCCCCCGCTCCCTTGGGAGAGGCAGGAGGCGGGCGTTTCGTTCTTATTTTATGCTACCTTTCCTACTAAGCGGGGGTTGCACCGCCTCGTCCTCCTCCTCACGACGTCCTTCTCCCGCTTCTTCGCGCACACGCGCGGGAGAAACGCCGCCTCACGCGACGGTTTTCTCCAGCAAAGCCCTCGCAAGCGGGGGCTGCGTGTGGGGAAAAAACGCTGGTTAAAGGCGCCTTGAATCAAACCCGAAGGGGGAACAAGGGTGGGATCCGCGGGCCCACATCTATAGAGGCGCGGCCTCGGCGCAGCCGCTGGCCCCGTGACGGGAGATAAGCTGCGTTCAGACGTGCACGCAGAGGTGCTGCCTGTCCCCGCGCGCTGGTGGGCCGTGGGAGTTGCCGCCGGCCGCAGCGACAAAGCGCGAGCGCGCAAACACGCCAAGCTGAAGGCAGAGTCGCCCTGGCCCAAATGAGTGGTTGGCTTTGTTGACACGCAAGATTAAAGAGTCGTTGGCTACCTGGTTCCCCGCGCACAGGGACCAGAGGTTCACCAGCCGGACATGGAGGCAAGAGCCCCAAACCTGAATGTAATCTGGGTGTAAAGCCAGGGGGGAAAGCGGGGCGGGGTCCGGATCCAGCTGACCTGCTTTTCAATGATAGTGTTCCCTAGTTTGTTTTCACTGAACGCACCTGAGATCAGCGACCAAATCCATCGCAATGTTTGCATACATGCACTTTGCGACTGCAAGGGGGGCATTGTACTCCATACTCTGCCACGAAACTCTGAAACTTCTTGAATAAGAGGCTCTTGGAAGCATCTTGGCAGCGTTTTGCGGAGATCACTCTGCCTGGCCGTGCTAATGTGCACGCAAAAATAACCTAAAACCTGCAAATAATTAAGCTGACATAAACCAAAATGCCATCAGAATAATGCAAGTAAAACAGATGAGAAAAAGCTGAAAAGCTTGAGAGAAGAAAACTCCATTGACGGAGAGTGGTATTGAACCCCACGGAGCATATGCTGCTTTTTTTTAACCACACAGTAGAGTTGTTCCTGGTGCAGTAGTAGTGGGGAAAGGCCAACATTATAATAAAAAAATAGAAGAATATTTGCTGCAGTAAGGCCCACTGTTGCTTTCGTACTAGTTTTCTTCCCTGCCGTTGACTATGATGCAATGGTGGGCACAAGAAATATTTTTGAAGTGTGTTAAAAGTGAACCAAAACATTTGTCTTATTTCTAGACCACCCATAAGAGATTCTTAAAAAGAATCTAGATAAAAACAGTCCTATAATGCTATTATCAGGGACAATGAAAAACTAATTAGGTAACTTAATGCTTAATTTAAAGGCAGGGGACTATGTTGCAGGTAGTTCTTTGCAAACTATTTATGGTAGATTGTCACCAGTGGAAATGCGTACAGGTTGCACCTAGACATACAACAGAAAAGCTACTCTTCCTTTGAAAATGCAAAAGCCATAAGATTTGAAATTGCTAAGATTCTGCTAATTTAAAAAGAAATTGACAGAGCCATGAGAAGCACCCACAAGGCTATATTTGGAATATTATTCATAGTTCTGGACCGATAATGATAAGGCTTACCTTGGCGTGCTGCAATCTACATGTGTTTTTGCCTGATTAAAGTTGTTTGTGCTGGAAATATAAATGCCGGAGTGTTTAGGAGGCAAAGTGTATTTCACAGGCTGATGTGGAGGGCCAGTTACTGCTGCAGGGAAAAAATTAAAACATTTTGAGGGGACTGGGCTAAGGAAGGAGCAACACAGAACAATTGAAGCTTGAAATATTGATTATACCAAATCCTTTTTAAGTTTACATGATTAATGTACATGTGACTGAATGTGACTCAGTAGACTGATGCACAACACTCTTTGCCTGAAATAATAGGATTTAAGTCAACAAGCAGCCTGATTCTCAGGGTTCTCAGACTTGCTCTCACCCATGTTCTGCCTAAAAAGAGCAAGGCCTACCCCTTTCCAGAGAATTTCCATAGACTTAAGGAGGCTGGTAGAGAAAGGATTGTTTCAGCATCCATCTGGAATGCTTCTTGGAACCCATAGATTGGTTTCAGTGGGATGAAATAATTTTAAAGCAGCACTCTTGTTGACAACCAGTCAACAGCCATTTGCGGGACTGAGAAGCGACATGGGGCAGTAATATACCTAAAATGGCCAATGGTACACATACGCTTGTAGATGTCTGGATATCTATGGGTTATTCAATGCTTGGACCTGGTTTACACATGAACAAATATTTCATGATTTCTAATCTCCAGATTTTATTTCACTTTATGATTGGCAGTAATGTGAAGCACTAGTAAAAGCAAAACTCTAATCATCTGCATCCTTACTCACAGAATAAGGAGCAGAAAATGCATTAGTGATCGTGGTGATATAGCCCCAATAAAAATTAAGCACCAAGACTGCTCTGTTTATAAACTAAACTGAATTTGCCCTGCTGTCAAATGTTCCAGGTCATCTGCCAACAAAGTTATAAATTGTGTTCTCCGATTCCCCTGGGTTTCTTTCGCATCCTTTGAGCTCTGAGGTTGGAGTCTGCTCCAAACTGCAATTTGTACCACATTCCATAATAATCCTAGCTAACTGGGTTTTCAGCCTGTCTCCGAAACACTGGGATTTCCCCTCCCCCTGCTGGGTAGAATTGGTACTTCCAAGCAAAAGTCTTTTTCCAGCATGGGAAATGTTAGTGAAGACTGTAGGAGAGAAATGGCCGAGTGTTAGATGCTGAATACATTAAAACGTTATTAATAAAACTGGGCTAGTAGGAGACTAATGAGAGGAGGGAGAAAAGAGACATGAGAAGGCAGAAATGAGATGGACAATGAATAATAGAAAGGACAAAAGAGAATACAGGGCAGTGCAAGAGAAAAAAGAGCTGAAAATATATTTCTGTGTGCATGTTATATATGTGACAATCTTCCCTTTGAGAAAAGTCAGCATGATCCAGAGGCCTAGGAACTTTAGGGGCAAATCTTACAATTTCTGTGAACTTCCAGGGTCACATCCATATTATTCATTTAAAACACTACTTTCCCCGAGGAATCCTGGGAGCTGTAGTGCTGAGAGTGGTTAGGAACTGCTACTCACAAAGCTATAATTCCTGGCACCCTTAACACACTATCGTTCCCAGGATTCTTGGGTGGGGGGGAACTATGACTGTTAAAGTGGTATAAAGACTCAGCTATACAGCTGCAAATGAAACGTTTTAAGTGCAATATACAATGTGACACTAGATCAGGGGTTGTCAACCTGGTCCCTACCACCCACTAGTGGGCGTTTCAGTATTCTAGGTGGGCGGTAGGGGGTTCTATGGCACAAGCTGAATCCTTCCATTGAGCACTGGCGGTAAGGAAATTTTACCATCAAGAAAGATGCATTAGTGGGCCGTAGGTATAAAAATGTTGACTTGCCCCTGCACTAGATGGTGATGGCCTTATGGAAAGTTCAATGTATTTTTAAAAAACGCTTTAAAAAAAGCATTTTCAAAATGTTTTTTATATGTGTGTAGATTCCACTTAAGAGAGCTTCAAATATTTGGTGAAGATGTGCTGGGTATATTTGAACAAGTCGCTCACCCTCAGCCTCAGTTTCTCAACTGCAAAATATGAAGTGTAGAGGTGGACTTCATAGGGCTGTTCCTGTGCTGGTTTCTACAGCAGCCCAATAAGATAAGGCACTATACTTATTTTGCAGTTGGGGAGTGACCATTCAGATTGGAGTAATTTTAGTAATACAATAGGCATTGCCAACAAAGGTCCATATAGTTAAAGCTATGGTTTTCCCAGTAGTGATGTATGGAAGTGAGAGCTGGACCATAAAGAAGGCTGATCGCTGAAGAATTGATGCTTTTGAATTATGGTGCTGGAGGAGACTCTTGAGAGTCCCATGGACTGCAAGAAGATCAAACCTCTCCATTCTGAAGGAAATCAGCCCTGAGTGCTCCCTGGAAGGACATCCTGAAGCTGAGGCTCCAATACTTTGGCCACCTCATGAGCAGAGAAGACTCCCTGGAAATGACCCTGATGTTGGGAAAGATGGAGGGCACAAGGAGAAGGGGACGACAGAGAACGAGATGGTTGGACAGTGTTCTCGAAGCTACCAGCATGAGTTTGACCAAACTGCGGGAGGCAGTGGAAGACAGGAGTGCCTGGCGTGCTCTGGTCCATGGGGTCACGAAGAGTCGGACACGACTAAACGACTAAACAACAAGGCATTGTTATGACAACTACCCTAGGATTTGTATATAAATAAAGAAATGATGGAGCATAAAATGATGTATGAGGGTGCTCCCTTGTCCAGAGAAGGACAAAAGTCCTTGCTGCCAAGTGCAATTATGTTTCTCCCCACATGGCTGCTGCTTTGGAGAGCAGTCACTGTTTTGTAAAATTTGCTGATTCATATTGCACGTTTTTGGAACATACGGTACATTTAAAGCACCCCACCCCAAAAGAATCCGGAGAACTATAGTTTACACCTCACAGAGCTATAATTCTCAGCACCCTTAACGTACCTTTACACTTCCTATGATCCTTTGGGGGAAATTACTTTACAAAAGTCTTTAAATGTATGGCATGTTTTCAACCTGACATGGTGGACCTGTGCATGGGCTGCACTACATCGAAAGATGGGAGTTCACCTGACTTAATATTCCTCCTAAAAATAATAATCCCAAACCTTCCCTCTGCATAGATAACTATCATGGAAGACAGTTCTAGCCTAGCCTTCCCCCAAAATTGAATTACCACAGGGCAATGGAGGCTTGCCCACCCCTTATCTTTCAAGC